CAAGACCTAGTGTTTTTGCAGTATTTCGACACGCAAATGTATGACGTCACCATTTCAACCATCAATGAACGCATGGAACTAAAACAAAGCTTAATATAAAGGAAAAACTAGAGAAGTGACGGAATTACCTACGATGTCGGAATATACCGCGTTTACCCTACCTAATTGTAAACTTGATGTTTACATTTATTTGGCGGGAACTCATCACAACTGATTTCCGGACAAGCTTCACTGCATCCTGATCCATCCAACATACCGGAAACCTTACTTTTTTTTAAATAGTTGGCCGAAGACTGACAAATATATTAAATGCAAGAATTTCAATCTAAATGTGTTGGCAAGATCTTCTGAAGGCAAAAATTTTGCTACTGAAGCGTTGCCAAAGATATTGCAATATTCATCCACTCTCTGCACAGTGGGTTCCATGCATTCATTGATGGTTGAAATAGTGGCGTCATACTATTGCGCACCATTCTATATTACTATTGCCAAAACACTAGGTCTGGGCTGTCTGGCACAAAAATGTTGAGATCCAAAGAGAGACAGTGCGGGTCACCCAGCAAGAACATCAAAAAATGTGTCAAAGTTGATAGTTGACCTTGCTCTAACAAATAGTAATAAACTGTTTGCATAGAAAGACTGAAAGAATATTATGGTTTGAGACTTTTAAATAAGTCTGTGAATATATTAGGAATCCTTTAAGTATACTTGTATTTGATGATTTCAAGTGGTAAAAAATTAATAGATGATTAAGTTAAGAGATGGTTTTAGACACATAAAAACTAATTCTGATTTCTGACACAGTTTGGAATTAGATACACACAGCTCGTTCCAAGCTGTGTGCAGAAATTAAAATTAAATTAATTAAAGCTTAATAGCTCTTAATTAAAAGCCTAAATTAGTAGTGTTCAATATTCAATAGTGTTCTAATTCCAAACTGTATCATATTCCAATACAGCTCACACAGCAATCAGAATTTGAACACAAGAGTGTCAGAATTATGAATTAGTAGAGTTTGAAGCGTGGCCGGAATTAGTCTCACAAAATGCTGAATTTAGTCACACACAGTGTCAGAATATATGGATTTGGTAGGTTTGCATTCTAAAGGCTTTTAAATAAATATGGCAATATTTTGTGACGTTTTATTGTTGCTGGCGTGTAGTGCGGTGTTTTGAGAGTGACGTAAAGCAAACAGAACTCGAGTTGCACGTACGGTGATTTTTTTATAGCTATTCATTTTTTGCTAAGTCCTTAAAGTGACGGAATATACCACGTTTACCCTAATTCATCTGGCGGAAATCTCACAGTTCTGGAAATGGCAGGAAATCTTAAGTCATGGCCCTAAAGCCTAAAGGTAGACCTTTTCCATGCTTGCAGATACAGTTACAGAGTGACAGACTGAAAAGTTGGAGACTCAGAGTTGGAGGAGAGTATTCAGTACTCAGTTGTTGTTATTTGTTGCAATATATTTGTTAGAAAATTCCAATTCTGAATTGGTAATTACTTTCTGTAAGGCTGTCAGTAAGCTGTGGATAGAGCTTTCAGTTGGTAATCAGCCCACAAAATCATTTGGTTTTGAATATTATGAGCTTTATACCATTAAATGCTGGAATAAATTGCCTTCATTGTAAATGAGTTATGCCTGTCTACTACATATATAATGTTCCACTGTATCATAACCACATAACCTTTCAAGCACTTGAACTGCAAAACCTGTGCAAAATGTAATGCAACCAATCAAGTAATTATTAACTTGGTTCTCCTTAGTAAGTTTGGAATTGCTGTTGCATAAAACCTGCCCTGCAATACCATGCTGCAAATAAAATATGATTTCTGTCTTGTAAATTTTTTAACTTTCTGCTATCTGAGATTAGGTTTCAGATAGTGAAGTTTGATTTTAAAATTAATTATCCTTCAACAATTAGCCATTAAATTTTTTGCTGATTTTATGCAAAGAAAGAATAGTGGCAGTCTGTAGCTTGTTGGTGTGGACTGTGGATAATGAATGCTGGAACACTCCCATGCCCTTTAACTATGGTGTAAAATTATTATTTATTTTGGCAGACAACTCTGGGCCATACTATTCCTGGCTACTTTACTAAAGGCTGGTTGGTCTAATTCAAAGGATATCTTTTATTGTGTACCTATATATGGTAGCCAATAATGTGACAGACTAGAATTGGTGGAAGCTTTGGTATTGAAGATTGGAGGATGAGGTCATATCAGTATGTGCAGTGGTGGTCTCTAACACCAAACAAAAATTGTTCTATTACTGTGAGCAACTCTTAGTAAACTTTTTCTTGGTTGGAATTATCTTGCACTAAATGATTCAAGAGTGTCATTTGGTCACTCAATCCATGATGTATTGGTGTTAATTATTGGCATCCACATTTCCATAGACTTGACTAAGTTGACTAGACTAAGACAGTGATAGAACCAAAAATGGGAGATGAAACTTGGGCTAACATTCAGTTGGTGAAGAGTAAGCGAGAAAGCTTCCGAGAAAAGTTGAAAAGGAGAAAAGCTGAAAGAGACACCATCTTGTCTGTTGCTAGAAGTTCATCATTGTCAATTCCATCAGGCTCCCACACTAACAGTGAGAGTGCAGTAGGTAAGTTCAACTTTAATTATTCACTTGAAAATATTACCAATGCTGCTTATTTTCAGTCCAGAGAATTCATTTTAACTAGATATTAATTCAACATTGTTATAATTTCAGTTTATATGTTCACATTAAAAATATCTTTGATGTTAAGGAAATTAATTCTTTCCATGTTTTTTTAAAAAGGATTACAGTTATGAAAAATCTATCTCCAGATCCTGTGATCAAATTGCTGATAGGTACTTTTATTTTAAATAAAATTTATACTAGAAGGTTTGTTTACTCATTCCTATGCCAATGAATTCATGAGGATCATTAATTAGTGTTGAGATTTCCTTATGGCAAAGTCAAAAGAGAGTTTTCTCAGCCATAAATAATAAGCCTCTATGTTGTAAGCATATTAGGTACTATTTGAGTTACAGCATATGTTTGCTGCAGTTAAGGGGACCGGCTACCCTAAAATTTCCAATTTTGGCGTTTTTGGGTTTTTATGCTCATCTGAAAGCTGGAATTCTGCTCTTTCCAATGATACTACCACTGCCATCGCTGTACGCCAATATTTACGTTCATGACGTCTCTTTAAAGGGAAGCGGGTGAGAGAGTTCTTTAAGTAATTAGATATAAAGTAATTAGCTGCTGAAATCTTTGAATATAGTTTCTACTTGAGTTGTGCTGCAGTTACATGCTTAGTCTCATCTTAAAGCTGACATTCTGAGCTTTCCAACGATACTACTGCGATCCATGCACGGCAATATTGACGCAGATGGCTGGGCTTTAATGGGGGCGGGGGGTGGAGTTCCTTCACTAAATAAACCTAAGAAAATTAAAGCGGCAAGACTACATATCTTGGTGTATCTGGCATCTGAGCTCAGTTACCCTCCTAACATTGTACGTAGAGGTGCGCTACAAGTTGCTGCTAGCATCCTTGAGTGGATTAAGCTACAGAAGCCTGTAGTTTGGTATCCATGCTACATTGAGTGCCTATTTCGAGGCGTACAGGACTTTGTCGCGCCGTCCTGAAAAGTTCAACTTATTGTCATGGAAAACCTATCTCCTCCTACAGTTTTCAAGCTACAGCAATGAGACATACACCATTCGATTCGTAAGGAAATTACCTAAAAATTTGATGATCATTTTTTTGAATTTCTGTCTGGTTCGTTTTTTATATGGGGGAGAGGGGAAAAATGGGATAAAATGCGCATAAAAAAAACTAAGGGGAAAATGAGAAAAGTGATCATCAAGTTTTTAGGTATGGTCCTTACGAACCGAATGATATGTGTCTCGATGTTGTAGGATGATATTTGTAGGAGATAGATTTTCTAAAGTACCCCTTTTTAGCCGTTTTCTATGAATTTCACGTTTTCTATCAATTTTTTTTTTAAATTCATAGAAGCAAAATGTTCTTAATTTTACATTTTACGTATGTATGTGAAGTTTCATTATGATTGGATAATAACTGTAGAAGTTTTTCCGGAGGGTAGCTGGTCCCCTTAAACATTGATTTGTGATAGCTTAGGATGAAGGATCTTCCAACTGCTTTAACTCTATGATTTTCATATAAAATAAACCTATAGTAGTTTGTTTTGTTATTTTTTCATATTATTTCAAAATTATCCCTAATTTAGTTTTGAATTTGTCACAGGAAGCACCTCAGACACTGCCTGTACATTATCAAGTGATGAAATTGAGAAGTGCTTCATAGAAGCCCTGCTCAGTTGTGTGCCGCCAGTGTCAGCTGAACAGCTCTGGAGCAGCTCTCCCAAACTCAGAGGTAAGCTTTGAGCTGGCATCTAAAGGGCCTTCTAGACGCTCAATATTATTGCGCAATATGGTTTGCACAATATATTGATGACAGCTCCTAGACGCTCAATATTATTGTTCAATATTTTGTGTTGCGCAATATTACTGAGCATGTAGGGGCCATATTGATGGGTTGCGCAATATATTGTGCAATTACGCCCCCAGACGTGCAACCGTACTGCGCAAACAGTGCCAGCCAGACTTTCACGTAGCCAACATGTTGAGTGATAATGACTTGTGCTGCGTAATAATTGCTTTGTCAGCAAGTCGTAAAAAAAGTAAGAGAGGCTCGCAAAAAGGTAGAAAACGGTCGAAACAGTGGTTTATCAACAGAGAGAAGTTCACCCACGAAAAATTACTTAATGAATTGAGAATGATTGAACCTAATGATTTGCGGAATTTTGTACGAATGGATGGGGACCTTTTTTATGAACTCCTTGCTTTGGTTACTCCTGCAATCGGTAAAATAATCCCTGTAATAGATAAAATCCCTGTACTTTTCAGTCAGTACATCGTACTGTTCAAGCTTCCTATAGCACGATTCGCGTAGTCTTGGCACTTGACATTGAGCTGGGAGACCCCGATATACCTCGATGAATTCCAGCATAAATTCTTTGTCAGCTTTCTTAACATATGTTAAGATGTAATCCACGTTGCTAAAATGACGCGTAGATATGCGTAGAACTGCTCCCTACAACCACTGGGGACACACTGACAAAACATTACACAATATAGCCCCTACACCGCACAATATCTTCCGGTTTGCGCAATATATTTTCAAGATTCTGAAAATCACGCAATATATTGCGCAGCCCGTCAATATCGCCCCTAGACGGTCAATAATATTGTGCAAACCTAAATATTGCGCAATAATATTGTGCGTCTAGAGGCCGCTTAAGTCAGGTGTATTGCTTCATATCCTATGCTCATGAAACGTGGTTGTTTAAGGGTTTTCATGAAACAACCTGTTTTCATATGATTCCATTCATACCTGTTAGTGTATACACGTGTGACATTCATCTTGCTTTCAAATTTATATTTTTTAGCTACTTTCAATTAATTTTAATTTCTTCAATATTTCTTCCCATCTTGTGGATGGTGGCTTTCAATAATCTAGCCATGATTTATACAAGTAAAAATGATGTTTAATTTTATTTTTTTTATACACTCATTGTTTAATTTTTTTTTGCTTTCAGGGCCCAATACCCTATCATTTGTCAGCACTTCAGATCCTTCCCTACTTTCTGGCCTCCTGCAGAAATTGGCAGGCAAGAACTATATCAGGTTGGGTTCCAATGCTTTCTTAATAGCAGCTCTCTGTTACAAAATATTTCTGTGACTTTCAATTTTGCACATTATCTTCTACCTTGTGCCTACGTTATTTTCTGATTTTAGTCTTTAGATATATGTCTTGTGGAACATCCTTCTGTCAAATTACTTGATCACATACTGTGATTTCTTGAGCATTAAAAAAACTTGATTTTATTTCAGCCTTGGAAATGGTGGCTCCATCATCACTACTGTGCACCACACTAGGCTTTCAGCAGAACTGGAGAAACTAACACCAGTTGTGGGTAAATCTCTCAGTTTCCAATGAATGTATTCTTGTACTTCTTGGCCAAATTTTCTTCACAATAAGTTTTCTTAGTGTTGAAAACCACTCCTGAATGTGTATTGGGTAACTTCAATAAGACTTTTATTGTGACGTGCATTGACCTGAATCCTAGCAGTATATTTGTTATTCATCTTACACGCATATCTTAAATTCACTTGAAAATCCAAATAATATTAGTTACTTGATCAATTCTTCTGTATAAACAATGTAATTTCTTTAGGTAAAAGTGAACCAAGTCCTGCAAATGTTGGGTCAAGATGTGGGGCTCCTTCAAATGGAGCCAATGATAGCAGCAATTTTGGTGAGAGTGAGTTATTGTTTGGTAAATGTAAGATATTTAAATATTATTAGTCGCTAGTCTCTTGACATTTCTTGGCAACTGTTGATACCATACTTGAACACATTGGTCATTGTGGTCAAAGCTGTTGTTAAGTTGACTAGGCTGCATTTGATTTCATTTATCATAGTCTATATAAATTTGATTTCATTTTATCAAAGTCTATATAGGTAATGATGTAGATATTAGAATTCTCTTGGAGTCCATTACTACTTACTTTGTTCACCATTTTTGTTCAAAATCTTGAGGATGCTCTCTCTCTAGTGGGGCCAGCCATTTCATACATGAATATCATAGTCACTTAATTGTGTAAGGGTTTCAACAATGAATTTGTTAATCAAAGTTCATGGAATATTTTACTATGATTAGTTAATTTGAAGAGCTGTTTCTGTATTTATTTTTTTCAGTAGAGATTTATGCATGTTCATGGTGACCAGGTGCTTAGATTTGTTTCATGAGGATATGTTATAAAGTTTTGCAATTGTTTTGATTACGTTATTGTTTGTGCTGCTATTGTTTTGATTACATTATTGTGTGTGCTGCAATTGTTTTAATTGCGTTATCGTTTGTGCTGCTATTGTTTTGATTACGTTATTGTGTGTGCTGCTATTGTTTTGATTGCATTATCATTTGTGCTGCTATTGTTTTGATTACGTTATTAGTTATTGTGTGTGCTGCTATTGTTTTGATTGCGTTATCGTTTGTGCTGCTATTGTTTTGATTATGTTATTGTGTGTGCTGCTATTGTTTTGACTGTTATCGTTTGTGCTGCTATTGTTTTGATAACGTTATTGTGTGTGCTGCTATTGTTTTGATTGCGTTATCCTTTGTGCTGCTATTGTTTTGATTACGCTATTGTGTGTGCTGCTATTGTTTTGATTGCATTATCGTTTGTGCTGCTATTGTTTTGATTACGTTATTGTGTGTGCTGCTATTGTTTTGATTACGTTATTGTGTGTGCTGCTATTGTTTTGATTACGTTATTGTGTGTGCTGCTATTGTTTTGATTGCATTATCATTTGTGCTGCTATTGTTTTGATTACATTATTGTGTGTGCTGCTATTGTTTTGATTGCATTATCGTTTATGCTGCTATTGTTTTGATTACCCTATGTTATTGTGTGTGCTGCTATTGTTTTGATTGCGTTATCGTTTGTGCTGCTATTGTTTTGATAACGTTATTGTGTGTGCTGCTGTTGTTTTGATTACGTTATCGTTTGTGCTGCTATTGTTTTGATAACATTATTGTGTGTGCTGCTGTTGTTTTGATTTCGTTATCGTTTGCGCTGCTATTGTTTTGATAACGTTACTGTGTGTGCTACTATTGTTTTGATTACGTTATCGTTTGCGCTGCTATTGTTTTGATAACGTTATTGTGTGTGCTACTATTGTTTTGATTACGTTATTGTTTGTGCTGCTATTGTTTTGATTACGTTATTGTGTGTGCTACTATTGTTTTGATTACGTTATTGTTTGTGCTGCTATTGTTTTGATTACGCTATTGTTTTGATTACGTTATTGTTTGTGCTGCTATTGTTTTGATTACGCTATTGTTTGTGCTGCTATTGTTTTGATTACGTTATTGTGTGTGCTGCTATTTAAACAGGACCAGGAGGCAAGCGGCTCCTGGAAGATGAAGGTGAAGCTTTCAGTGCAAAGCGCGGCAGTTCAGACCTTCTCTCCTCCCCTCCCCGAAACACACACCCCACAGATGACGTCATGGTTAGACCAAACTTTGTAATAGTTAAAAAAAATAATATTTTTGTTAAATTATAGATTCATTTGTTTATTATCTACAGGTAAAAATATCTGCCGAACTTATTAAATATGCAAACCTTATGCCCTGACTTATAAAGGTGACTTGATAAGTCACCTGACTTAGCTTTATTAGACATGGAACAAAATTCAACCCTTCAGCTTATATTGCCTCATACGTAAATATAACATTCAACCCCTTACTATATTGCCTCATATATAGCGAAATATTCCACCCTTTTTTATACTTTGACAGCTGTAGGTTAATAGTTTGTAGGAGTAAATTAAATGATATTTTTATAAAATGGTAGATGAAATTCAGTCATATAATTTGCACTTGTAGAGTTTGCTGTCGGCGCCCAGCATTCGTGAGCGCGAGAGTAAACGCGTGGGCGAAGAAATCTTGGAGCTGCTGAACAAGCCGACCGCGCGCGAGCAGAGCGTCGCGCAGCACTTCCGCTCTCAAGGAGGTCTGATTTCGCACTGACGGTAGCTTGGCAACCTCCAGAGTGCAGTGCCAGCTTTTGTCGACATACGTAGTGCTCAATTTTTTAGTCTGTTGGCGTTTCTGTAAACTTCATATAATAATGCCGTTTGATATGATGATAGCTATGTTTAATGATAGCCTCTTGTCAACATAGTAATATAAACTAACAGTAGACTCTCTGATATTCCCCTCAAATTTCCAGTAATTCCTGTTTAGGATTCATATGATTCTTTGATGTAGTATATCTAAGGAGCAATCATCAATTAATTTTACTTGCATTAGCATGCTGAAAAGCTTGCCAAGCTAAAAACATTGACGCTTGATTTGGTATATGAATTCTCGAGAATTTTAGGAGCTTAAATTTTTATTGTTTGTCAGAAAAGATAGTCTAGGTTCACGTTCTTTAAATGTAATCTCTCTCGAGCAATAATTCTCTTGATAAAGTAATGATTATATAATAATATAATATAATAATAATAATTCTCTTGTTGTGTTACAATAAATAATGTTAGTGTTGACGCTGTGTGTAGTCGGCCTCTTTATTGCACTGTAAAATCGGAGCATGAATTATTATCCTATGGTATATATAGTAATATAAAAATGACCTCCAATTGTCCTCGTTTCCCAGGAGCAAAAGTGCGCGAATTCTGCCCCAGAGGAACCGCTGAAGAATGCATAAGATGGAGAGAAGGAAGAAAAGGGTGGATACCAGGAAGTGGGGGAGGAGGAGGTGAGGGAGCCGGGGGCTTCTGTGGTAAACTTCACTTCAGGAAAATTGTACAAGCTCACACTGACGAATCCCTGGGCGACTGCAGCTTCTTGAACACTTGTTTCCACATGGATAGTTGCAGGTAATGCGTGTGCGTCGACTTTCATATTGGTTTATGCACGTTGCTTGAAGTGCTATAAGTTCTTTATGTGATATTTCTCTGAAACAAAAATTATTTTCGTTGATTCAGTGTTGAACATTACCCAAAGTATGGATCATTTTTCCCGCCACTGATTCGTTTAATAGGATGTAGACCTTCACCCCTGCCGCAGATACGTGCACTACGTAATAAACCTTCACCCCTGCCACAGATACGTGCACTATGAAGTGGACTATTCCGGCATGGAGGAGCTGCGGCCAGACCAGGACGCCCCATCCACACACCGCAACCCCGGCCTCTCCTCACCCCTGCGTGGGGGTTCCAGTAGGATGATGTCTCCGCCACGCCGCACGCAGGACCGCACGGTGCTTTTCCCGCCTCAGTGGATACAGTGCGACCTGCGCTTCTTGGATATGTCCATCTTGGGTGAGGGTTTTGAGGTCATGAAGGTGCTTGATGAATGGACATTAAGCTCCGTCTGCTTAAAGCATTGTTGTCAAGCATGAAATATTTTTTGAGGCTTGTATCCAAGTACCCAGCCACAAAAATACTACAAATAAATCTAGAATCGAAGTCTCAAATATAAGACAAGCATATGAGATGACAGATTAGATAACAATTTTGGAACACATTTGGTTGATTCATTACTTTCAGTAGACGAGGAAATATGACTAAAACTTTGGTTATTGGATATTAGTAATATTTTACTAATATTACTAATATCCAATCTTTGGTATTGGATTATTAAGTAATATTTTATTAAATTCAATTGTAAGGGCCAGTCATAACATTTCAAAACGTGTTAAAGAAAGTGGAAATTCGACCGAAAGATAGGCAACAAGAATATAAATTTATGAGAAATTAGTTGCCAACATGAGGAACTTATAGTGAAAAAATACAGAATACAAATGTTCGGAAGCCAAACGAATCAGATCAAGAAGCTCTCTCGTTCAGTTAAATGAGAAGTTCATTGACTTGTTCCTACTATAATTTAATAGATTAGTAACAGATGAAAGAGAACAAGTAATCAGTTGGAGGATTTTGTTCTTATCAACTTTCAACAATCAATCTATTATCTAGTGTAAAACCCAAAGTGTTCTTTTCTGCTCCTACATTTATAATCTCTAGAAAAAGTCTAGATGAATAGCTGCAAACGTGTTGCAAGCCGCAGTGTTTGAGCGAAACCGTTTTTAGTTCTGACTAATACCTAAACATGATATATGCTATACGTATGATACTTATGATATTTAGATACACGATACTTATGATATTTAGATACACCATACTTATGATGTTTAGATACATGATACTTATGATACAAGTCACTGTTCTCCTAACCGCACATTGTCGAATTTTTCCAATTGATATCAGTATAAGAATAATTTTCATTGTAGTTTGTGTTCAGGAAAGTTTGCTGTGATAATGGCTGACCCCCCATGGGACATACACATGGAGCTGCCGTACGGGACGATGTCTGACGACGAGATGCGTCACCTGAACATCCCCGCCCTGCAGGACGAGGGCCTCATCTTCCTCTGGGTTACCGGCAGGTCTCTGCCACACGCACGCAGTTCTGCCAGTTTCATCTTGTTCCTTATAATATTTATGTCATTCGCGGTTTTTTTACATGATTTCTGATATGTTAGGGCTCTGGATCTTGTTCGTCAAACGTATGGTTTCAGCCACTCGCACGCTACTCTGCCAGTTTATATTCCTTTTTCTTAAATAGGTTTGGTTTATGTCAATCTCGTTTTTTTAGATGATGATTTGTGATAGATCATGGCTCTGAATCTTTCTTCGTCCGACGTACTGCAGCTAAGTTTAAGTTACTAATTTGTATTTATAATCAGGTCTAATCCCCGTCGTGTTATTGCATTATAAGGCACATTCCTGTTTTTTTATATTGAAATATAAAATTTCCAGGGCCATGGAACTGGGGCGTGAGTGCCTGCTGCTCTGGGGATACGAGCGGGTCGACGAGATCATCTGGGTGAAGACAAACCAACTGCAGCGCATCATCCGTACGGGCAGGACTGGGCACTGGCTCAATCACGGCAAGGAACACTGCCTGGTGAGTGGCGCGCTTACGGCTTCTGGTGCCTGGCGAGTGGCGTGGTTATACGGGGTGGGGGCTTCTGGTATCTAGTGAGTGGCGTGGTTATACGTGGTGGAGGCTTCTGGTGCCTGGTGAATGGCGTGGTTACGTGGTGGAGGCTTCTGGTGCCTGGTGAGTGGCGCGGTCACGTGGTGGATTCTTCTGGTGCCTGGTGAGTGGCGCGGTCACGTGGTGGATTCTTCTGGTGCCTGGTGAGTGGCGCGGTCACGTGATGGAGCTTCAGTTGCGGGTGAGTACCGTGGTCACGGGGTGGGGCTTCTGGTGCCGAGGCTTCTGTAGTGAAGCCACCTCTGCAAATTAGAAACAGTTGAGGCAGCACACCAACTTCGCAGAGTTTAACATATTCGTTTTGAAAACTTTAGCTAAAGATAAACTTTCTATTTGTGCTCTAAATTTCATTGCGTTCGAGAGGAATAAAAGAACGATAATTATATTTCGATAGTAATTTGTTAATTTCAGAATTTTTGATACCAATTCGTCACGCAAACCACCATGCACATATATGGTCCAAAATGTACTTCATCACACGTGGTGACGTGATTGGTGGTCCTCATGTCTAGAGGTGGTTAACTGTGGGGGTGAAGTAGCATGGATATGTAGGACCCAAAACTTGGTAAGTGCTGCAAGGCGTTCGCGGTCGAAGCCCCACGCGCAAGCATGTTTGTCTCCCGTAAATGTTTGCTTACTAAGGCTGAATTAAATGCGTCAAAATTTAGAGGTTATGCAGATAATCGACACTTGAAACTGGTTTATTGTTGGCAAGTATAGATCCGGCGTTGAACAGATGATAGGAGCTGTTTTAAGTGACAAAGTTAACATCGAATATGGACTATTTCTCAACTTGATGGATTGAAATAATCGGGACTGCTGCAGTTCAAAAATTACAGAATGCTGACCTCCCCTCAGGTGGGCATGAAAGGCAACCCGAAGATCAACCGCTGCATGGACTGCGATGTGATCGTGGCAGAGGTGCGTGCGACGTCGCACAAACCTGATGAGATTTATGGCATCATCGAGCGCCTCTCGCCGGGCACCAGGAAAATAGAACTCTTCGGCCGGCACCACAACGTCCAGCCCAACTGGTCTGTTGTTAAGGTTTTAGGTGTGGTTTTAGTGAAGCCCATGTAACGAGTTGCTTCGTAATTACCGTCATTTAATTGAACAAGCTTCAAAGTAACGTGCAGTCATCACTGACAGAATCATACATTAATTATTGAGTATGAAATTTGTTTGTAGGTATGTCAAGAATTCTGTTGTTCCATAATATTCAGTATAGTAACGTTAGCATGAAAAACGCGCGTTAGCATGGAAAATTATTATCTAGACCACAAATATTTTGAATATTCATGTAAATATGGATCTTATTTCTTCCTGTGGCACAATTCTCTTGTAAAATACCATAGATGTTTGTCGTGAAACCCCCAAAATTTACATTTTATGTCAGTCTTTTTGAATTTTAATTATTAGAAGACAGTGAGAACTCACTGTACAGTAAGAGTTCTGTCTGTTTGTTTTAGTCTTCGTAGCAGCAAATTGAATCTGTTCTAAATTGGCGTTATTGTGCTTAAGACAAGACTTGAGTCTTTGAAGGCTTCTAATTTTGTGGTCCATGTGTGCAGGTTGACGCTCGGCAATCAGCTGGAGGGAGTCAACCTGCTGGAGGAGGAGCTGATCCGCAAGTTCAGAGAGCATCATCCCGAGGGCGTCGCCGCTAAAGTTTGAGCTCCAGACGCATTATTTTACACCCATTTACGAACGAGAAACATTGTAAATAGTACTGACTCAAATTATAATTTATTAGTTTATATTTTATTCTGGACGTTGTGGCCTTGATGGAAGTTCCGGTCTTGTATTAATAGCAGGGAATAGACTTGAAATTAGTGTCAAAACGATTACTACAGGTAAAATATTGGATCAAAATCAAAACGCTAACAAGAGGTAGATAAATAGGGTTGAAGCGTTCAGGGTCCTGAAGTACGTATCATTATTTCAAGAGACGTCCCTCAGTGAAAAAGATTCTCCTGTACATACGCATTACCAACAACCCATCACATAGGGCAATTGGTATGAACTCACTATCCAAATATTCCGACCTGTTGAATAAAGTTCTACGTCTACAACGTGAAGTTGAAGATTTTAAGTATAGTAGAAATATTTTGCCGTCACTGACCGCAATTTTACAATTGCATTCTGCCCTAGCGAATCGTGAAATTAGGTATGGTGAATATCTTTAGTGGTACATTTAGCCTGCGATTAATGAACGTGTCATTCATTTCCTACAATTTTAGACGTGGCTGAAATTAAGATGTCGCTTTGGGGGCTGATCTTCTATTGCGCAAGCCTCGGTATTACCGTTGGGTCTGAGCTATTAATTATCAATTTAAATGTAATAGTCGAAATTGATTATTCCGAATTTCAGCACGGCCATTTTTCGAGACTTGAAATTCATAGGAGACTTTATCCTATATCTTTTAATTATGACAATTGTTATTGCTTGTGTTGTCCGGTAACTTATAATTTTTTTCTCTATGAAGATGTCTTATTTTCATTAACTAGATTTTCCCAACGGGAGCGCAGCCGAGCACCACCAATTTTGTGCACTAATCAGCCTTGAATGAAACGCGTAGCATATTTCCGTGAGACCACCAACCAGCCGCGGATTAAAGCCATCCGTCAGTAATCAGCCCATGACATCATCTTGCTTCAAATATCAAGATCTTTACGCCACCATATTTTGAAGCGAATAGACCAGAGTGTAATGATCGTCCACCACTGAACGTTGCATCGAATCATCACTCCATGACCTGACATTAAACGGACAACGGACTGTGACCAATCACCAGTGGAACTGCATGAATCCTGTCGTGCACCACCAGACGGTCACTTTTAGCTCACAGCATCTGTGGTCAGGTTTCAGATAGCATAGTTCTGTTCCAAAATTCATCGTCCTATGACGAGTGGGGGGCGCAGCCGTAGGCCACAAATTTTACTCTTAAATAAGCCCAGGAGCCAACGCCTAGCTTCACCATGCATTAACTTTACTCAGCCTCAGAACTAGAAGCCGCAGACTACGCTTGGACTCCGTAATCCAGACAAGCGACACACTGCCGAAAGATAATAGCGTCGTAGGTCTTCAGCCAATGCTTAAGCATACTCGCTCATAAGCAGGCAGTTCCTCATCCGGCTGTACCTACTCCGGCCTAACCTATTCACGCTGTCCACGCTCATAGCCTTCTTGCAGCCAATGACTGGCTCTACCAGTACACTTGGACCGCCTTTCTAACTTCTTGCAGCCAATGAGGTTAGGTAAGGTCCGCTCAGGTTTGTTTTGGGTGAAGAAAGGTTGCAGCTCGTATAGGTTAGGCCTGAAGAGGTTAGGCCAGAGGAGGTTGAGGTTTGGCCAGATGCAGTATGGCCATGTTTACCTTTGGCAAGCTTATTTTGTGGCTGTGGACATTCGGCGCTATGGCTTTAAGCACTTGACTTCATAGGCCGTTATGCACTCTAGCGTTCTAAACTATGGAAAGGAATATGAACTAAGTGTGAAGTTTGGCAAAGCTGGCCTCCGGCATGCGCCCCTGACGAGTGGTCGTTCAACCGCGGGCTGATTCGGACGGGTCGGTGGCGGACATAATAATGCAAGGCTCCGGCGCTCTCCGTCCGGGTGGTGTAAATTTTTTTCGCGTATTGGCAGACGATGCTGGGCCATACTACGTCAGGCTACTTTTCTTTGGCTGATTGATCTAATATTCTAATTCAATGGATGTGATCTGTCTGGTGGCTTGTGGCTGATAATGTTACAGTCAAGAAGTGTTGGCTACGTTCTTGAGGGAAGGGATCATGATAGTCCATTCGAATCACGGCAGTGGTGGTCTCAGACAGGCGTCTCACCGTTTGTAGGCTTTGTTTGTAGTGCCGGATTACATGGCCAGATATTGTAGCAGTTTGTCAACTGAATTCTCTGTTTTCTGGCACGTTTTCGACCGAATACAATGCTTGCGGGACGTGTTTAGTAGCGCACGTTTGGCCAGTGCCCCGCTAATTAGCCATACATCTTATTTCTGCTCTCCTTGTCAATAAGGCCAAACCCTGTAACTAATCTCTACTCATATCAAGTATTTCTACTTCCAAATGCAACAGTAGTGTAACCAGCTTATACTATACAGTTTGGTCCGCTGCAGACCTATGCACGATTTCATAGAGAAATAGACATGGACTTCTAAAATGCATGCTTTGATCGTCCAAAAAATATTTTCCTCAACGTCTATAAATTCAGTTAATATGATAAAAATTATAAAGCTTCCAAGCCTCGGTTATCGACGTCTGCCTGGTGACCTCGTTGAAGTATGTAAGTTTACTCATGGTTTATACAAGGTTCCAGAAGGATTACTAGAATTTGAAACAAGAACCAACACCAGGGGCCATGGCTCTGAACTAGAAAAACTGCGTAGCAACTTATCCACGCGACAACACTTCTTGACGCTTCGAGTCACCGACATGTGGAATAGCTTCCGCGATTACATCGTTGACGCTCTTCGTATGAGCGCGTTCAACAACAGACTAGATAAAGACATGGAAAAATATATGTTCAAGGTTGGAAATGCCTAGCCCCATATCGAACGTCGTATTATATCATAGTGATGCCGGCGCTGAAGAATAGGCCTGATGTGGCCTGTCGTCGAATCTTTTACTTTTCGTGACTTGTTCACAGATCTGAATACAGGTCCTTTGACCGGGTCTTCGAAACTGACGATAGTTTGAAATGGCTACTAGACTTCCACCGAGTTCGACAGGAATAGCTAGGATTGCAGCTACCAGTACGCGAACGGAATGGGAGCGAAGCTGCCCTATCTTACGACACCTAGCAAACTTTTCTCGATCAATTCTATCTAAAAAAAACATGATCGGGAATGTAGATGAAAGGAGCAATAGGATAACTTTCACCAATTTTTTGCGTCTGTACAAGCAATAAAAATGGCATTGGGTTTGGTCATTGGGATTTCTCGAAACGTTTCATGAATCTTGCACCATGATTGAAAGACAGAGTAGCCTTGTTCAGCAACGAAGCTCGTTCAAACACTATCAGATGATTATTTATGTGTTCTGGAGGGTCAGTTTTGTCGTCAAACACAGACCTTATCAAATTATAGAATTTTTATTGATCGTTGACAATATAACTCAACACATGATACTGCTATCAATAAAAATAAAATGATTTTCGAACGCTATATTTAATGCATAGGAAACTTCTAAAATTTTCCTAAAACATTGCAAGGAAATCTACCAAAATATCTTGTGGAGAATTCAAATTTCCTGTGAAATTATATTCCATAGCGTAAGTCAACTAAAGATTCACGCTGAAAACAAACCGATGAGAAAATTATTTATTCAAGTAACATTAAGTATGAGGTAAAATATGCAAGTTCTTTTCAGTAGTCTTACCATAGGTACTGCCCTACCAAGCAGTCCTTTCATCGGTCTCGCAAGCATTAGAAAAAAGTATATTATAGTTTTTCAGAGAGGCTTACAATTGTTCTTCAAAGTGCCGTTTAGCGTCAAGAGGCTGTTTCTGGATAGGCATGTCTGTACCAGCACGACTAGTATTAAAAACTAGAATACGCACTTGTGTCGAAGCCAGAAGCACTACCCTCACCACCACTAGCAATATCAGCACCGTCCTTCCAGCCAGCATCAGTATCAGCTCTACCGCTACCACCAGCATCAGTATCAACAATACCTATACCAGCATCAGCAATAGCTTTACCATTAGCAGCAGCATCAGCAATACCTTTACCACTAACAGCAGCAGCATCAGCAATACCTTTACCACTAGCAGCAGCATCAGCAATGGCTTTACCACCAGCATCAGCAATACCTTTACCAATAGCAGCAACATCGGCAATAGCTTTACCACCAGCATCAGCATCAGTAATACCTTTACCACCAGCAGCAGCATCAGCAAAACCTTTATCGCCAGCAGCAGCATCATCAGCAATACCTTTACCACCAGCAGCAGCAGCATCATCAGCAATACCTTTACCACCAGCAGCAGCATCAGCTCTACCCTTACCACTACCAGCAGCAGCAATACTCTTACCACTGGCGGCAGTATCAGCATCAGCACTGGTACCAGAAGCAAGCCTTTTTGACCTAGGAGGGGCAGGTGGTTTCGAGGCCTCAAGACGCTGGCCACCTGCAGTTGGCTCACAAATACCAGAGGCAGACGAACGAACATTGCCCTGAGAGAGAACTGCTTGCCTTTCGGCTCTTCCGGCTTTGATCGCCTCGATAATTTCTTCCTTGTCGTAATTTTTATTGAAAGGAAGATTGTGAGCGAGCAAATTCGAAAAATCTAGTGTTTTGGTTCCACTCGTTGAGGGCGCCGATGGCGATTGACCAGAATGCGGATCGGGTGACGTCGAATCCGTCCGTTGTGTAGCTCCAGCTGCTCCACCTTGCTCTAAACCAACTGTCCTCCGTGGCAAATGTTCACGACCGGTCGTCGATTTTCGTAGGTTAAGACCACGGTCAAAATAAATGTAGTTGACGGGGCGTGCTTCAGGCGAATACCCTTGAGGCTCCTCACTATGCTCAGGGTTTTCAAGTCCAGATCTTTCCTCTACCGAGTCCCTGTATTCAGCCTGCTCCATATTCACGCGGTCATCATATAACTGAGCCAAAGGGACTTCTTCGCCGGGTTCTTCGTCTATGTCGTTACGTCGGTGACTTCCATCGCGGCTCCTCCTTTCGTTGAGACGCATGCGCTTCCTGTGAAAATGAGTTAAACTTGGTTAATGAGTTAAAACTGGTGATTTTGTACATAAAATACAGCAAAAATCCGGCGAAATCGATCATAGATTATTAAATGACAATTATGAAGCTTTTTAATAATTTATCGTAAAAGTAATCACCTCACTGAAATTTTTTACTTTCGTAAAGTAAGAATCTTAGAAAAAATTGTACAGGAAGCTACCTACTTTGGCTTCCTTCTTGCAGTTATATTTTATACAATAATTGTGGCCGAAGACAAATAAAATTTCTGGTATTTTATTCATACATTAAAACGAAAAATTCATTAACGGCGCACACGGATTTATGTCCGTGTGAGTAATCGATTATACTCATGGGCGCACCGCCCTAATTGATAAGTTCAGAAATGCTTGTACTGGACTCTCGTACTGTATATAACCACCGGCGTAACTATATATGGATACATTACCCGTCGTCTATTCGTACTCTGTGACCTTATAACTTGAATTATATGAATATAAATGACTGATGAATTTTGCCACCTTTTGCTTGCTATGTAAGGGCTGATATACTTACTTAAACCACCAGTAGAATATTGCGACTGCAACTATAATGATTATGAAAAGTACAATCGACGAGTAGATATAAACGCGATTTGAGACAGCCTCCTCCACTTTCTCTTTGCCAGACGTTTTTTCATATAAAGTATCAAGTGCTTCCACAGGAAGATCATCGTCGCTCCAGCTCGCATCATATATTGTCGGCGTTGTCAGCTTATATACGGGTACTGTAGTTTTTTCTGCAATTGGCTTCAGAAAGTGTATATTATCTGTAACTTTTTCATCGCCTTGAATTAGCACGCACTCAGTGTGGGTAATAAGGTTTTCTTGTGTGAACGTGTGATTTCGGATCTGCATGACGTAACTTTTTTCTTCGTTTGAGTGGTAGGAATCTTCGTAGTCAAATGTTGGTGATGCAAGTGGATGACAAGAAAAGACGTTGAACACACCAATTTCAACACTACCAGTTTCGCGGACAACTATGCTACGAGCAGAAGCTCGCTGGACGTTGACATGGTTCAAGATGAGTCTGCCTGATACCTCAATGCCCTCAATTCCAATCTCAGAAATCAGAGAACTTGAAATATTGAGGGTCGCTCCTGGCAGCACTCTAATGAACATAATCTCATCCACTCTGCATCCTTCAATAACGAAATCGTCGACAACAACGAGTTCTTTAATTGTTGTGATGACACTTCTTGACAAGTTCCCTATGCGGACGGTTGCTAAAATATTAGTTACTTGAGTTATCGAGCATTCGAGGAAAGTTAATGGCAAGCGTGGAGCCACATCCGATATTGTGCTCTTAGAAGAAATAAATTCAAGCACGTTTATATCGATGAAATCCAGAGTCGAGTATAACAAATCTAGTCTGTATAAACACGAGTAGTTGGTCTTCTGTATCGAGCTGGCAGTCACATTCTGTAGCGTAAGCTGCGGAAAAGATTTCAAGAGCGTAAGTCCCAAGTCTCATGGCACGTATAAAATTATAGGATTTATTCATTACAAGCAACTGTAAATCGTGCGTTCATAATAAATAGATCTTGAATAGTTACCTTGATCATGATCACATATAAATACGAACATTTTCACATGCATAAAAATGTCCAAAATAGTGGGTCTAAAATCTCTATACCATTCACAAAGGCGCATTACATAATTTTATACAGCAAGGACTTCTATAGAGAAAGATGACTGTACTCCGGTTTGGACCGGTGCAGTTGCAACATGCTCCCAACATGTGGTATCACTTGTGATATACTAGAGCCTTCCGGTTGGTATAAGAATACGTTTGGGGTCGTGTAAAATAATTTTCTAGTTGGTGATATTTAGCTCTAGATTATTGCTCAACAAGATGATGCAACAACAATTTACGACTGTTGACACTCGCCAAGCACTTTATTCTAGTCACTCAACGTTAAATTTAAACTGAAAATTGATATAATTTGCTAATTATTAGCATTTAGAATAAATTAGAATGCTACTGATGCTACAGACTTAAGGCTAATACACAGTAATAATTAGTGGTGCGCGGAAACTGCGCGACTAACAAATGGCACTGTACCATTAAAATGTTGGGGATCAATGCTCTGCGTTGCAGTTATTAGATAAATTCATATTAGACCAAACCTACACCACGCAGTGTCATGAAAAAATATAACTCGGTACTCACTGCAGTGAGTGACAGAGAGCGCACTTTCTCGTCGACGAAAACGCGTGGTCACGGACGGACGGACGGACGGACATGACGAGCACAATAGCGCCTTTTTTCCATAAATGAGAAAATGCGCTAAAAACCTAGCACCACTGTCACCTCACCTGCATCAAGCAATGGTCCGAGATGATCAAGTTGCGGGCATTCTTCACTATCGCGTGTTTGTATGCGTCTAGTGTATGGTTGCCTCCAATTTGAACATTCGTGGTCTGTGAAGAGACATTTTTTATTATATGGCTGGCACCGCAATGAACTTTATATCCAATAATCAACAAATAAAAGACTTTACGATGACGGTACACAATGAATGCGATGATAAAATAAAATGAAAATTTTCAATTTTTAAAATAACTTTCAACTAAATAAGTAAAATAATTTTACTATCCATATTTTGTGACTAGTACAAGAAAAAATAAAGAAATTTGAAATGATTTGTTTACCATTAGAAAAAATTTCTTTCCTGGCAAAACAATTCGAAGCTAGTTTTATTGATTTATAATTCCGTACTCACAGTGAACGACAAGTCGCAGTTCAGAGTCATGCTGCTAGGCATGGAGCAGTTCTTGAGCGGCTCGATGATGACAACTCCAGCAGCCGTAACGGAGGCTCCCTCCATGAGCGTGGGTCCCTCCCGCACGGCGACGCAGTCCCATAACCATTCAGGTGCTATCCCGCCCTGGTACAACACCTAGACGGCGGCAGAGCCAAATACTGAGAACATTTCTTCATCGTTTTCTCTATGAATACAATAACAGTTAGCACGAAAACCTTCTCTCTGATGATACAGGCACAGAAAACAACATAACCTCTCTAAGGATTGATTTAATAACCGTAAGCTACAAAACTTTCTTTCAAAGGAGACACGAATAGATAGATGCCTGCAGTAATATTTCTATACAATGACCTGGCAATTAGTGTTACATTGCCATCATTAGCAAGAAGGTTAAAGTATTGTTCCGACATAGAAACAGACGGAATCAATATCAATTGAAGCAATCATAATATTATTTTGAGAAAATCAAGAATCAGCTTCATGATTGAATGTGGTGTTAAAATATTGCACATATCGTATTAAGCACCTACAATTTTTCCAACTCCGTTATCATAAAATAATGAAATAAAAATAATTCGTGCTCGTTTCTCATGGATTATTACTTTTCTCTTGGATCATCACTTCGTCATCGCGATGGAATAAACGTGGCCTCGATATTGAGTATTAAAACATAAATTTCGTTCGACGAGCAAAAACTAGAATTTATTGCCAGAAACAAGCATCGCACTTCAGAAATAAACTAATGAGATTATTTAATCAAATTAATTTCATTTGAGTGTGGAGTGCCTAATGAGGATTTTTAGATTAATTGGTAATTAAACATTTGTCATTTAGAGTCAATTCATGTCAAATGAAAGTCCAAAAAATTTAAAAAATCAACCGAAAGAAATTTATTTTTAATGGAATAAATTCTTAACTGGGGTCTGTGTGTAGGTCTATGTATGACCACCAAAAATATCCTACTGGTTCTTATCAATTGCTCAAAGTGCAAAATCTTTACCGATTCAATCTGTTCAAGAATAGAATTACATAATAATTTTGACAGGGCAATTAGGTTGCCATGTACTACCTGGTTTCGGTGCGCGGCACTGATGATGGGTCCCACTTCAAGACAGTCGAGGTCTTGGACGTTCAGAGGTTGGCTGATCTTGAGGTAAGCTCCTGCCCTCAAGTAAATCATCCCTTCAAGTGGCTGGAGAAATCGGAACTTGTGCAGGTATAAATGGCCAGCCAGCAATCGTAAACCTGTGACGAATACACTTTCTGAGTAGAGCGGTAATAGAAGTGCATGGATAAAAATCACATAAAGCGTAGTTCTACGTAGTAGAACATTAAACAGAAAGATTCCCTAAATGACTTAATTCAGTTGTTTTAATTGAAAATAATCACCGAAAATTCCCACGAATATTTACGGTTATCTCGAAATTAGCCAACGATTGCAACAGTATTGAGTTTATAAAGTAAGCCATCCTGATCAGAACTCAGTAGAACTAAATTCATATTATAATTGAGTGTTGAAGGATGAACACCACTCACCGGCAGGATGTATGAGCCCAAATGTACAAGAATAGAAGACGAAAGTTTTGTGCGAAGGTGAGAAGTTGTTCATGATCAGGCTTTGGATCTGGATTCATAAAAAGACCAAATTTAGGCCAAGATTTTCAAATAATAATTTAATAATTAATCGACATGTTAAAACTAAAATCGTTATTCGGACGAAAAACTTATTTCGCAGGAATTGTTCATTCCAAAAATCGCTGTATATGCAGAAAATTTAGATGAAGTGTTTTCATGTTCATTACAATCCACTTACCTCATCAATATTGACGTTAGAGAAAGAAGCCGGAGTATGAAGGATTAAATTTTGAATTACGCCGATGTGACCACCAATTACGATGCAAGCGATTTCAGAAATATATTCTTTACTGATGCTAGGATGTATAACCAAATGTTCCAGGACTTTGATGCTCAGGTCTTTGGTTTTTAAATATTCCACTTTACTCAAGTCAAGGTGGTCGATGCGAGACGGGCCTTCATCCGCCAATACTTCGGTTATTCGTACCGAATAAAGTGTTGTCAAATTCGTCGAATGCAACTGCAAACGAAACCTCGAAGCGCAAGGCATTACATTGAAACGGTCATTGGGATGAGGGTAGTCACTGTGGTACATTGACCCGACGTCATTCCAAAGATAAACAGTGTGATAGCAGGCACCCTCGTGAATGTAAAGTTCTGCGTGATTTCTGATGACGATGGAGTCGGCTACGTTTCTCGTCAGGTGGAACTCCAGGGGCTGCCATGATCAGTTATTGAAAATTAATTTAACTATTGCATCAGTAACAATGTCTTATTTCTATTCATCGCAATATAAAGAGCATACTCAATATTCGGAAGCATTTGATTTGAGACGAATAAATAGTACTATCAATGAGTATTAGATGCAATAAAATTAGTATTTAAGCTTATGTTTAGCTTTTAGCTATACACAAAAAATTATTTTGTTTGCGGGTCGGAAATGGGAATTATTTGGCAGAATCTTCAGAGTGCATTTAAATTTACGGTATAAATTAACCCCGGCACAGCTTGTACGAGAATACAGAGACACACTGACCTCTTGATGGCTCACAAGATCGCAGTCGAATCTCCAATCCTCCTGTATACAATATTCTCTAATTTCTCCTGCATGAAACTCTCGACGATTCAAGCTGGTTGTTACAATTGGTGAATGCAGGTGGCCTTTCAGGTCTGTCATGTTTTTGTTATTCACCATTACATTCTCAATAATAAAAATCGTCCCAGGCGATGTTAAGAAGCACGGTTCATCGCATTGTTCGATCACGGTATTCTTCAGCGATACAATTTGATCACGGTCAGCAATGATGGCATTACGATGGAGATGTCCCACTCTGGTGTTGATCAGAGAAAGTGTTTTCACAACCTTCAAACCTTCCGGATATATCGAATCTATGCTGGATCCCTCAACAAACAAAGCCGAGACGACACTGTTGGCGATTCCCTGAATATAGCAGCCGTACAACACGGCCTCGTGATCAAAGGAAACGTTGTAGATTAATTGAATTTTTGACGACTCTGCTCGAAACGAACTCTGCTTTTTCTCGGACATTGAACGGAAAAAAGTATCCGCCATGACGCCGACTGAAGTGCGGATCAGAACCAATTCTTTAAGAGGGAAGAGCATAATGATGTCCTCTACTTCGGTGTTGGTGAGGGCAACTGAGTCGGAGCCATTCAAGGATGTCATGGTGCTGTTAGAAATGTACAGTTCTGCACGCCACTGAGGGTACGGGAATGTCTGCACGAAAATTTCAGACTTATAGCAGCTGTACAGCATACAGGGACAAAACGCATGCATTGAAAAGTTCACCGACATACATGCATTAAGAATGTATTGAATGCTGCTTTATTCATCATATTTGAAAACTGAAGTTGAACATTAGTGACTGAATCTGCAACAAGACTATATAATCGAAACGAAATGCTAATTATAACTATTTATATTATTTCATGGTTGATCAACTATTTTTTAAGTTATTTCATCAAGAAAATTTCAAATTTTTTCATACTTGTGTTACAGAAGTGTACCTTATATGTTGAAGATATATAATATATACAGTGAAATTGAATAATGGGTCATTAAAAACCACCACCAAGTTATTAGCACCTGAAGCTGAAACGCAGTACAACAAGTAGGTCTGATTTGTAAAACAGGACTCACAGGGAAGAACTAACCGGGAAATCACTTACAGTTTCCATGAAGGCTATCACCGAACTGTGGATGAAAATCCTCTCGACACTTTTACTATAGAAGGAGATGGAGAGTGGATTTGCATTTGTGAAAAATAAGGTGTTATCCCGCACAAACCAACTGTCTATATAGACGGCCTGAAAAAAAAATGAGGAAAGTTCAAGTTCTTCTTCGAAGTCCACAAATTGATATTCATGATGTATGAAATGCACATAAATGGATACCAATGGTGTGACAGCAGTTTGTAATGGCTAAGATTCATTCATTTATTCGAAATAATTCTTTCTCCTTGTGCTATCCGAGCATACTAACTGCATTCTCAGAGTAAACTAACTTAAGCTTACAAATTAACTGGCGTTCTTTATACAGCTCATCTGTAGGTTAGGCTTACTGTGTTTCTGTAGTCGCAGCACACGAGTTCATAATCAAGAGATTGAATGCAGTAACATTTATTCACGTGGTGATCAGTTCGGTAATTGGGTGCACAGTCTTCTTCGCTTGGAAAGTGGTTGCATTGACTCGTGAGAACTTCTGTTCCATTTTCTGTAAGCTCAGTCATGCGCTTGTCTTTCAATTCTTTCAAGCGTTTCTCCTCCCGCTTCAAAGAAGCAGACACAAAAGAATCATTTGCAACCTCAGACTCGATTTTGTAGCCAGATTTTCTCACATGCTCCGCCACAAGGCGATCAAAATCCACTAGAGGCCAGGGCACGAAATCTGGAAAAACCGCGTAATCATTCGTTTTTCTGACTCTGCTGAACAAGTCCGTAAACTTGAGGTAGATAGTAGGATCTACGTCCGGTATGTAGGCATTAGCATCTTTGAACGAGAGCTTGAAGTTTGGGTCAACGACCGCTACGTACGATCCATTCATGATGAAATTTTCTTCATTTTGTTTCGAGCTGTGATCGTCTGAGATGTCGACAATATGACCTCCCTCTGTTCCCAACAAGGTGAAACGTTGACGTAACTTGAACAATCTTCCTTCCGGGATTTGAGGTACTAATAATGGCCTCCCGCGACCACTGGAATACGATTTTATGATGTGATACCTCACTGGATTATACACGATCCCTATTTCGCCCAATAAATGTGGTGCTTTGTCCACGTAGAGTACAAAGTTATTACGTCTGAGCAGAGGCCGCAACGGCGCCATCTTTCGAAAGCGATTGACGAGCTCGTGCTGCTGAACACTCGTCGACTCGCTGTTCAGTGTGCATAGGCGAGATTTCTCTGCTTCAGGTTGGGTAGGCTTGGCCAAAGGCTGGCCTTCTGATGTCACTTTTATTCCATCAGATCCATCGTCGATGGTCTCAATATAATTTTGAGGTAACTCGGGAGCAAATCTTGGTTGGGAGTCATCCTCGGCATCGGGAAAGAGCGCATTGTAGAAATTTTGGGGGATTTCTAAGGTAGATAACTGCCAAATGCTCCTGGCCTCTATGATGTTCGAGGCCATAAGACCGATATATATTAATGCCTGCCATAGGGGCAGAAGTGAAACGAATTTACTCATGAGATATTTCCACTCTAACCTTCATGCTGCGAAAACATGGAGAACACCGGTAAATTATTTAAAATTTTCATTTCAAAGTTACACATTCAAATAGGATATTAAGTACTAACAACTAATCTTGCAAAAGTGAATAAAATTCTAATGGATTCATGTGACAACGAAAACACCTTTCTAATAAAGCCATTTACTAGACTGTATATTAAAACGACAGTACTAAAACTCCATTTCGGCTTTTTAATAATATCACTCGTAAAATCTAAACAGAACTAGGATTCAACGGCACAAAATTGGAATAAACTCCTCCAGTTCGAGGCCTCGCCTTGCTTATTTTATGTCAAGGGTTCCCTCACCGCGGCCTCGGCAGCGGCAGTAAAAGATTTCTAGGAGACGGCAGCGGCTCGTTGAACGACCGAGGGTCATATGAGAGAGGAACACGTCATATTAGGGGGAAGAAAATGTTAGCGGTAAAGCAGACGTTCAAACATGGAGAAGTAGGCACCAAGGTTGAAGAAGTGAAGGCTAAAAATAGGAAGTGGCATCATAAAAAAGAAAAGGAGTAAGGCGAAAGAATGGGAAGGCTCATGATGGAAAAAAATGCAAACAAAGGATGGAAAAACACAACGAATGAGGAGGAAAAAAACACAATGATATAAGATGGAAAAAACATTATTAAAACACGCGACGAAAAGAAAGGAACGAACGAGGGGAAAAAGAAAGGAACGAACGAGGGGGAAAAAGAAAGGAACAAACGAGGGGGAAAAAGAAAGGAACAAGGAGGGAAAAAGCACACAACCAAGGAGGGAAAAAGCACACAACCAAGGAGGGAAAAAGCACCTAACGAAGGAGGGAAAAAGCACACAACCAAGGAGGGAAAAAGCACCTAACGAAGGAGGGAAAAAGCACCCAACGAAAGAGGGAAAAAGCACACAACCAAGGAGGGAAAAAGCCCCTAACGAAGGAGGGAAAAGGCACACAACCAAGGAGGGAAAAAGCACACAACGATAGGAGGGAAAAGGCACACAACCAAGGAGGGAAAAAGCACACAAAGAACGAGGGAAAAGCGAAAAACGAACGAGAAAAAACGCAAACGACAGGCGCAGGAAAAAACATACAACAAACGAAGGAAAAAAAACAAAGAAAGAGAATACACGCCGAGAAAAAGGTTAAAAGCATACGAGTAAAATGAAGAAATTTTCAACGAAAGAATGAGAATCAAACAAAAAACGAACGAGAAGCATGTCAAGAAAGAAGGAGAAACAAAAAACAAAGAGGGTTGGGAATACTGACAAGGAGCTTGAGAGCCTGGGAAGTTTGCACAGTTGCAGGCGCTCGGCGAAGGGCGCGAAAACGATCGATCCTCGCAGCAGGTGGAGTTAAGGAGATCGATATGTGCGAGGGAGCCGTGGGGGGATAGCAGGGGGAGAAATTACGGCACCCACTTAAGTGCTAGCAAACGAGGATCAAATTGCCAGCTGTTCGAAGATAAGAGCCACGAACTACTGTAGATACGCAAGAGCGCCGAAAAGAAGGAGCTCGATAAAGGGTGTACTCAATGTGATTAACGGAGCGGCAGCAGAGTGAGCGAGCGCCGCGGCGGCAGTCCAGAGAGCGAGCGCTGGCGGCGGCAGTCCAGAGAGCGAGCGCTNGCGAACGCCGCGGCGGCAGTCCAGAGAGCGAACGCCGCAGCGGCAGTCCAGAAAGCGAACGCCGCGGCGGCAGTCCAGAGAGCGAACGCCGCAGCGGCAGTCCAGAAAGCGAACGCCGCGGCGGCAGTCCAGAGAGCGAACGCCGCAGCGGCAGTCCAGAAAGCGAACGCCGCGGCGGCAGTCCAGAGAGCGAACGCCGCAGCAGCAGTCCAGAGAGCGAACGCCGCAGCAGCAGTCCAGAGAGCGAGCGCCGCATCGGCAGTCCAGAGAGCGAGCGCTGCGACGGCAGTCCAGAGAGCGAGCGCCGCAGCGGCAGTCCAAAGAGCGAACGCAGCGACCACAGTCCAGAGAGCGAGCGCCGCTGCGGCAGTCCAGAGAGCGAGCGCCGCGGCGACAGTCCAAAGAGCGAGCGCCGCGGCGGCAATCCAGAGAGCAAACGCCGCAGCGGCAATCCAGAGAGCGAGCGCCGCAGCGGCAGTCCAGAGAGCGAGCGCCGCTGCGGCAGTCCAAAGAGCGAGCGCCGCGGCGGCAGTCCAGAGAGCGAGCGCCGCGGCGGCTGTCCAGAGAGCGAGCGCCGCGGCAGAAGGAGTGACGCTGCGGCAGCCGGCAAATGCCGGTACGAACGGCAGGTGCTGGGCGCAGCGAGTAGCGCCAGGCGAGGACAGAGCTCAAGAAGAGCTTATGGACGTGCAAGTATCTGACAACTTGAGGCCACGCCGGCAATGATTTGACAACCTCTGTCAGCAGCTACGAATGTAAGGCAAAGCACAAAAAAGCTCCAGTAAGATTTGTCGACTGACAGAGGAGATTTAGACAATACCCGAGGTTGGTTTAGGTTTAGGTGATTGTATAGGGTGCGCGTGAGCTCTGTTAAGAAGGGAAGTCAACTATTTTACCGCTTTTCCTCTAATCAAGGATGTAGGTTCAGACAATTACAGCCCTGGGTCATTACTATAACCTAATTTCAAGCCACAACTAGAATTTGATTTAGACATTCAAGATAGAGTACTTTAGAATGCAGATATATCTGGCGGTAACTTCAGGATATTAATTCCCAACTACATTTAATTTTCTAGAACTAATCCATCTGCCATCAGCGGCACATAAGTCGGTGCTAATGCTGCACTTAGGTACCTTACCTCGCGGCTAGTCACTGAAAACCGTACAAGACTGGTCAAAACTACAATTTGTATGGCTCGATAAGCACATGATTAAGAAGCTATAGTATTTCAGTATTGTTCATAAAATAAATCGTTTCTACTGAAGGCCGACAAATAAAGTGCTGTGGCGATGTCATCAGCATTGAAGGGACCGATATTCCTGCAACACCACACGACATTTCCGGTATTATTGCAGATTAACTACATCCAAAAAAAAGGGTGTTTTTTTTTTAATTATATGTTTTTTGGGGTGTAGATGGTATTATTGCAGATTAACTACATCCAAAAAAAAGGGTGTTTTTTTTTTAATTATATGTTTTTTGGGGTGTAGATTACGAATCTGAAATCCATTTTTGGCGGTCGGCATCGGAAAACCGATTTTTTTCGCGACTTACTAACATGGGGGTTACGTAACTTACGTTACCCACTAAAAATCGGTTTTCCGATGCCGACCGCCAAAAATGGATTTCAGATTCGTAATCTACACCCCAAAAAACATATAATTCAAAAAAAAAACACCCTTTTTTTTGGATGTAGTTAATCTGCAATAATACCACATTTCCTTACGCACCAGCGTGCTACGCTGACGTCATAGAAAACAAGCTGACCACAGCTGGCGACGTGGTGAACATGTCCGTATCGTTCGAAATTATTCAAGCAAACGAAGGTTAAAGCGAGAGTAAAAAAATACAAACTTCGATTTTAAACTAAATTATTATCTTATTGTTCATAGACGACGTTTAATGAGGACAGAAGAACCGTTCACCAAGAAAATCAAAGCTGAAGAGAAAGGATGAGAATGTTCCATCCACAATCCTCGGAACTTAGGACAATCTAATCACAGTCACAGGGACATTTAAATCGGAAAGGCACTTAATTCTTGACAAGAAATGTAATTAATTAGGCTTAAAAATCTCTTCGAATAAAAATTTTTACTATTAATATCTGTACGAAATGAAAACTAAGAGAATCAGACCTCTCGGCGTTCGACCGACTTCATACCAGCAGCATGGTAATTCATCGTGCGAATAAAGCTGTGTTCACTCGCTACTAATTGATCCGTACAATGTGAAAGAGCTGCCAAGTTTTCACGGATTGTATTAGCTTCACATTCTCCGCAATAAAAAACTTAGGTATAAATTTACTACAACTATCTATTCATTTAAAAAGTTGATGCATTCCGATCAAAATATTTCAGCCACTAGGGTTATTCCATTTTTCGCTGCGCTGCACCTGCTCTACCTGCAATGTTTCAAATTCTTACCAGCAAACACGTGTAATCTTTTCCGAAATTAGAACCCTTTGTATCCGCGTCCTCAGAGTACTTGTAGTCGGCTTGCTTATTTGAACTTTAAACAACGCCCGTAATGTCTTAACTTCGAAGTGACCAAATGACTGCGAGGAGCCCTGTCCTTGACCGACTACTTTTTCTTCACGGTCTAAATTTGAGCGAAGCCACGTCGGCAAAAATTACGTCTATACTGGAACTTTTATAATCCATAATTTAAACAAAACCGCGTCTGAATAATTGCATTTAAATACTAATTTTTTAGAATTCATTTGCACAAAGTAAAGAATTTATTTTCAGCAATTTTGTTATAATCTACATCATCTACATGCAGTTCGCACTGTTCAATTGTGAAATCCAATTATCTTAGTTAGTTTTATGTGGGATGTGTTGCAAAAATTTTTATATGCCTCTACCTTTTTAATTTCAATGTCAAACTGTAATCATAGGCGTCGAGCATCATTTCCAACCACAATCTCATATAGAATTTCTACTTGTAGGACCCAGCATCTATCTTTCCCAGAGTCGTACATAATTCACACTTAAATGTCATCAGCTCGCAGTGTCTTACGCTAATCCCACTAACAGTTTCACCTAACTAACGATCATGGAGTCTTAAATCATTCCAGCTCATAATGTCTCACGTTAATCCTACTCACAGTCCCACATAGTTCTCACTCATGAAATTTCTCATCATTTCAGCTCACAAAGTCTCACGTCATTCCTAGGGTATTCCATCATTCTTATCCACAACTTCAAATCATTCCTACTCACAATATCTCTAAGCACGCCCACTCGTCAAGTCTCAAAGGATTACCTCTTTCAGTACCTCATAGCGTTCCCATTCTCAGTGTCAGCTCGCCCTCTTGCATTCATATACATATAGAGCGCATCAGTGTTCTCGGTCCCATATGTCCCGGAATTTTTCGGAAGATGGCAGGCGGTGTTTTCATGGCCAGTTCCTCCTTCAATTACGTCAGCGAGCCCCTGCCTATAATTTCCATCGTCTCAGACCGCCTACTGGCTGTGTGGTCGTGACGTAGGCTGACGTCATACGTCATGAGGGGGCGAGAGGGAACTTCCCTCTGAGGACGTCCCCTCGTCATCTCCCCTCCGCTGCCAATCAATAACTGGCAGCGATTGTGCCACATCGCGCCGCACGCTGCCTCATGACGAGCAGCAAGTGCCTGCATCATGAGTGCTTGCAGCATTGCTACCACCATGTGTGCTTGCTGCAAGTTCTGGAGCTTGCAGCCTGTGCGCTTGCTTCACTAATTTCTTCGGCATCAGAGCTTAGTGCTAATTCCTGACATAATTGCTGTGTGAGAGCCGTTTATGCTTGCAGGTTTAGTACTCATTTCATAACCAGTATCAGCACTGACATTTAGGTTCTCATGCTTGCAGCATGAATAATTCGGCGAGTGAGAACAGAGGTTTGGGCGCCCGCCTACAACGCACACTACCGGACGGTTTACTTAATTAACGACTCCTCAAGACGAACAAATCTCCAGAATTTCTGGAAATTTGCTTTCGAGCAAACAGCTATTATTTAGGACGTGTATTATGTTCTATTAAAACTGCAATGAAAGTTCACGTTATTTGAGAAAAGATTATTGTTTCTTCATGATGCTATTTTCGTTTACATCTATTATCCAATTTTGATAATGTATACTCAATTGAATATTGGAACCATTGGGGTGAATTGCTGCGTGTTCTTATATTTGTTGTGAAGTTGAATTATTATAGTATTGAATTAAAATGACGTTCATGTTCATTCATAAATTCTAGGCGCGGAAGCTTAAAGAAATGAGGCTTGTAAAACCAGAAGTATTGGCGGCCACGTAACTAAAGCTGAATTTTATCTTTTTCGTTTAAAGTTAAACAATGAACCGAAACATCAAAGTTCTGGATGCTAGGTTCTCGTATAACATGCGATCCCCGTAATAATTGTACAGAACTCAGCCCGGGCGGCGTCGTACGGAGTTGAGTCGCACGCACGAACACAGACAGACCTGCGCACTGGAGTTCTACTCGACACACGAAAGTTCTACAGGCCTCTGAACCACTTTGTTCTCCTAACCCCGCAATTATAATTCGATTCTAATGCTCATCTTTTCATTTAAAACTTTTTATTGACGTGAACTTGACGTTATGAGAAAGTTATGTAAATAAAACTAATAAATTTACAATTACTCCAGCGTGCGGTACTGCTGGAGCCAGTCTCTGTACGGCCGTGAGTGAGGGCGTATGTCTTCCCTAGAGCTGCGTCAGGCTGCTAGGCAACTACCTTGCAGATTTTTTCCATACCGTGGATGTCCTAGGAACGCATTCATTGGGATCCTTAGTATTCTCGGAGACCAGTTCATATTGTATTGTTATTATAGTACCGCAACCGATATAAGCTTAATGTTCAATTGTGCTCTGGGTGCATTGAGGCGTAAAGCGATGGCGATATTGAAAGGCAGTGTTGTGGCTTAGCTCTGATCCAGTGACTCGGTTCTCCTTCAAGCTTATTTGTTTGCAGGCAGTCGTGATGGTATGGCGCATGTATAGATAGTATTAGTACACTAGCTCAATATTGTCAATTTGTATACGTAGCATTTGGTAGACTAGTGCAGTATTATGAGTGTGGCGTGGCGTCGACTAACGCCGTATTATTATTACGAGTGCGTATATGTGTCGTTGTGAAGACTAGCGCAGTATCATGAATGTGTCTAGGTGGCGTCTCATATCACGCAGTATCATGAGTTCTAAGGCAACATCGCGTATACCAGTGCAGTATCGAGGATTAAGACCAATTGATTGCTTAAATCGCAAGTTTATCAGGAATTTAAAAGCAAACCCAAAAATTAATCATTTTTTATTCGAGAAAACATTTCGGAGCCCAGCTCCATCGTCAGTTCAAAAACCTATAACACAAGTACATACAATAAGCGAACTAAAATCATTACAATTAGCAAACATTGAAGATATTAAAACATAAATTTTCAAATGAAAACAAATACGAATGAGGTAACTTGAGCAGATAAACCTATATATTTACGATGGGATATGAACTGAAGACGGCATTTAGACTAGGCTTTTATTTAAAAATATTCCGGACTGAAAATATCTAAAATATACAGGAAAAAAAGAAATATATCT